TTTTCGAAAAAAAATGCAACTTTTTTTTTTCTAATTGGGAGACGAAGTAGAATTGTTATAAATACTTGTGTTTTATCAATTCGGAATTAAAATAAGTCAAAAAAGCTTAGTAGGCTTAGTCTGAAAAATTTATATAGTACACTAAATAATTTGGATATTTATTTGTTTAATTATTATACTTAGTGTTGAGATTTTACAATTAAAAAATATATAACATTAAATATCCACATCATCATCGCCGCCTAATTAAAATGGTTATAATATAAAATAGAACTGTTAATTATTCAAGTTTTTTTTTTCAAATTTTTCTTCATTTTTAAATTTCGGAAGAATTAAAAAAAAGTCTACCGATATAAATTGTTTTGGATGTGTTTTATAATTGTTTTTCGATTTTTGAAAAATTCTTCTTCTTTAATTTGAATTGTAATTTTGTTATTATTTTCATATCCATTTTTAGAATAAAGTTTTCAACTCTATCTAATTCTTCAAAAGTGGGTCGATGCGTTTATGCAATTAATTTAGGAATTTTTGGTCTTCATTTTTCATTATTATGTGCCACATTGGAATATGGCAGTAAATAATTATTTCATAAACAAATAAGTAAATATCAGCATCCTTTTTATATTCTTAATTACCACTTAATACTTCAGGAGTTATATATATCCTAATCAGTTCTCTTTTAGGAATTTTCTAACCCAAAATCTAATATTTGTAAAACATAACGCTAAATCTCTTAAATAAATAATTTCTTTTCCCAACTAATTTCTAAGATTTCTACCTCTTAATAAAATCATCATATATTTTCGAGTTTCTGGATCTTTTGTGATTCGATCGAATGAGATTGTTTGCCTTGCTCTCGAGCTGCCATCTAAATAATCTATTTTTAAAATATAATTAGTTATATATTTTAAATAAAGTTTAATCTTAATTTAGAATATTATTTTACCTCAATTAAGAAAACTTCATTTATATCTCCAATACCATCAAACTTTTTTAACACTGACAAGTCTTTCTCATCGTTGATTTTTCAATATCCCACTGATAAATAAATCCAGCAACTCGTTTAGCATAATAAATATAAATAGTACAATAACCAACTTTTGCTATTTGTTTAATTTCTTGAAATCTATCATAAGTAAAGTTGGTTTTAATTGTGAACTGAAATGAAACCGAACCCGAAATTTATAAACTGGTTTGATTCGATTTGGAACCGAAATTAAAAACTTCAATCCGAAACCGAACTGAACCTACTTACAACGGTTCAAAAGTTTTTTTTTTGTCAGAGTTCTTGCTTAATTATTATAATATAATTGTATTAGTTAATTTATCATAAAATGCAATACATCACTGTTACAAGTAAAGCTCCTAATGTAACCGTTCGATTCGGTTCTAATGTTGAACTGAAATAATATTTTAAAAGGTTTTTTATAAAGTATAATAGAATTCGTTAATTTTTTAATTAAAATAAATTAAAAATATATTAACTAATTTATTAGGAAACGGTTCTCAATGATGACGAAAAAAATAGCATCGATAAATAATTAAAAATCTGATTACCTTTTTTTTTTGTATTGTGTTAATTTTTAAATTTACCAACTATCAATACAGTTAAGTGCATTTAAAAATTCTTCATGAACTTGACTTCTATTTATTTCAATCTCTTCTATTGTTTCGTTTTCTTCAACTAAAACCTTTTCACTTTCTCTTTCCAAAAATGATTTTACGTTGCTATAAATTCCACATTTATAATATTCTTCACAGTAATGACACTTGTACTCAAGCATCGCATAACATTCATAATGATAGTCATGGCCGCATATTAATGCCTCATCATTATTAAGCTTTTTATCACAATGATCACAATTATCTTGAATCGGTGGTCTGCTAGTCCTGTATCTGTTGGTAAGCACCTAAAATCCAACAATTTTCTGCAAAGTTGCCAGTTCAAATTCTATTTTTTTTTTTTGTATAATCTTTCTTTTTCCGATTAATATATATATTTTTGAAAATAATTTGATAAGAATATAGATGTTTTGGTAAGTAAAGCAATTTGCTCGGCAAATGAATAATTTTTTGGTTCTATAAAATTAATAAAAATAATTAAAATATTATTATAAGTAAATGAAAATTAAATAACAATATTTATTGCCTTTGAATCTACAATTTTTTTATTACGATCAGCTTCAACAATTTGCATATAATAAACATGACATAATTGTTCCCCCGACTCTCAGATAAGTATAATGATTTATTAAATGCTAACAGAGTAAATTGACGAAAATGGGAATTTTTATTATCGCAGTTTCATATTGAGCAAGGACCATAATTTTTTTGAACCATGAAAAAAAGAAAAAATGTTTTCAAACGCGCGAACACGTAAAATTTTATTAAAAAATTTTTTATCCAAAATTTTTGATCGTCAGTCAGTAGATCTCTAACCAGTAGGAACAAACTAGCCTTATGCTGAATCTTTCGATTTGGATTTTAATGAACCAGAACCAGAACAGCCGTTCGAACGGTTAGGAGCTTTAATCATAAGTGACCTCGAATAATTCATCTATTGTGGCTTGTCTATGCATCAAAATCATTTTGAAATGTGTCGAGTTGCACGGTTTGTATCACTACAAACTATACGTATTCTTGATACATTCCGGGCATAAATATAAATAAGGCATTTTCTGTTCTCCTATAATGTGCATGGTATAAAATTTTTTTTTAATTAAAAAAAAAATCAATAAGTGAATTTGTATCGGAATTTACGTTTTTCGACGAAAATTTCTTATATATATACAACTTTAGGAAATTTTAACAATTAATTTAATGTATCATTACTTTCATTATTTTTTAATTATTTATGACGCAATTATTTCTAAAACAATTCTAGTTTATAGAAAATTTCTATTGATCGATTCGAAAATATTTTTATAAAAAAATTTTTTTATTATTATTTATAAAACTGTATAGCTGTTGTAACTATTACTATCTCGTGAATTTGATCAATTTTATTAATAATGAATGAATTAATTAATTCTAATGAAATCGAATAATAATAAAAAATTGATATTGACAGAAGAAAAATCCTGGATTGTAATTATAGATGGACAACGGATTGTTGAATGATAACGTGATAAGCGTGAATGAACAATGAATTATGAAAATGGTTCACTCACATATAGTTGGGTAAGTCAGAGATTCCGATTTATTTATTAAATAAATTATTTATTAACTTTGATTAATGACGAGAGTTTAGGGCATTTTATTAGCTTGAATTTTAATTAGATTAGCAAATATTGTCAATTAATTTATTGTGGCGGAACAAATTAGTAATCAAGTGAAGGATGATAAACTGTGATACTAGGATGAGCGTACGATCATCTCAGGTGACTTATCATCCTTGGTTGTTTGTGTGGCCATCCGTCGAAGGATGAAAGATGAATGATGAAGCACAAAAGATGAATGTAAGCAAAAGAGAAAGTATAAAAATGATTGTTGGTGGGATTAGTTTCGAGAGTTCTGAAGTTAAAGACTTTAGATAGGAAAGTAAACGATGGTAAAATAGACACAACTCACTGTAATATTTCTATCATTTGAATGATACTTTTATTAAGTGTACCCTTTTTATTTTGATAAACTTATCTTTTGTGTTGTAATATTATGAAATATTATGAAATATTATTTGATTCTGGGCTAATACTTTACTCACAACGCTTTCAGAATATTTTGAGTATTATTGTGATATCTTTATATTTTATTATCTGTTTCGAGTTAGCTTAACCTACTGGCTGATAGAGCGTATTGTTAACAAATTTGTGTGATCAAAATTTTTGAGGTTGATTTGTGCGAAATACTCTGTACCTACGTACAATGTTACTTGGGATTTCGTAATAAGATCTTTATTAATTTAATATTTTGAAATGTTATTTTAATGAAATTATTTTATTTTATGCTCTAATGAAAATGAAAGTAAAAGTCTTTTTCTTTTTTGTATTCAATCGACGGGGAATATAAATAAAACATGAGGCACCAATTTCTATTTCAAGAAACGCACCACCGATTATATTATTATTGTTTAACAGTATTTAATAAACAGATGATATACTGTACATATGTACATGCATGCGATTGACATGCAGATTTTCTATTTATTTTTTTATCATTAATCATCTGAACCTTAAAAGTTTCAGGTGTAAATTTCATATAAAAATGTTTTTGAAACATATTTCACAAATTTTATTGTAGATCTCGAAGACTTAAATGATTAATTCTTGATATTAGAAATTGCAAACCTTTAAGTGGAAACATCTCAATTCTATAACGATCGGCTTCAAATAGGGGGTTTTAAAGATAATGTATACGAACTAATTCAAATATTTATTATACATGTAATTAAAAAAAATTGGAAGTGTATATGTTGTGCCTCGGATTACGCTTACGTCAGATTAAAAGTGGCCAAAATTAAGGTAGGGTTAGGGTGAAATTAAAAGGATCAACATAGGCTGGTTTTATAATTCTGGTCAATGGGTGACACCTGACGTACCTCAGTGGTGATCTGACGATCTGAGGCACAACATATGTACTGTAAATCTGAAAAACAAATTATAATTAAGCTTATGCATATCCAAAATAATCATTACGGGAATAATGCAACTTACAAAATAAGAAACTATATCAGCAGCTTTTGTCTGATCTTCCCTACTCTGGATTTTCGACTGACTTATATATATATATTATAAAAACGAAAATCTTGTAAATAAGTTATTTTTTTTTCTAATATTTTAATTAGTATGAAATTTCGATTTCTGATGATCCCGATAAATTTGTCGTACACTAATATTACGAAAAACCTAATAAGACCACGCTTTTCTGTAAAGAAAAAATATATATATTTCTCGATTATCATTTTTTTCAAACTCTCTTTATTCCTTTATTGTTTGTATAATTATTTTTAATCAGAACATTATAATTAATTTTGGTAATAAATAATTTTTCTTTTAAAAAATATGAGAGATATAAACATAAACACTAAAAGAACAGACTTATTAAAGTGGAGACTTAAAGCTAAAAATGGAAGACAAACGTGGCATTATTTAGATGATGAAGATGAAATTAAGAATTGGCCTCAATCTGCTATTGATAAATATTCGCTTGGTTTACCTTTTGTAAGGAGTATATGATTATTTATTTAATTATCAATTAATTATCTATTATCAATATCAATCAATAAGTAAATTAACCAATTAATAATTATAGAAAACAAAAGAATTTATCAAACCAACTAAAGCATTAGAAGCTGCCAAAAATGGATTTAAATTCTATAAGCAACTTCAAACTGAAGGTGGTCATTGGACAGCAGATTGTGGAGGACCAATGTTTTTAACTCCAGGAATTGTAATTTCAATGTATATTACTCAAATACCAATTCCAGAAAGTTGGAGAGTAGAAATGATTAGATATTTATTTAATCGAGCTCATCCTGTTGATGGAGGATGGGGATTGTGAGTTTAGTTTTATTTTAATAATAACAATTTTTTTTTTAATAATTTTAATTAATTTTAATTATTTCTTCAAATATTTTTAATATTTTATTATTAGACATACCGAACATCATTCAACAGTTTTCGGGACTGCAATGAATTATGTTGTACTTCGGATTTTGGGAGTGGATGCGGATCATCCATCAATGGTTAAAGCTAGATTAACTTTACATAAACTTGGTTAGGGGAATTTATTATTAGTTTAATTAATTTTAATAGTTCAATTTAGTTTATCTGTATTTATATATATATATATATATATATATATATTAGGTGGTGCTATTAGTATACCGTCATGGGGTAAATTTTGGCTAGCAAGTTTAAATGTTTATGATTGGGATGGAATTAATCCGATTCCACCAGAATTATGGTATTTAATTTTTTTTTGTTTATTATAAGTTACATTAATGTTAATTTAGATTTAATCAATGCTAATTAATGAATAGGCTTTTTCCTTATTCTTTTCCATTTCATCCTGCTCGTTATTGGATTCACACACGTGTTGTTTATCTTCCTATGGGATATATTTATGGTCGGAGATTTAGAGCCAAAGAAACACCATTGATTATGCAATTGAGACAAGAATTATATACACAACCTTATGAAACAATAAATTGGACCAAGGCACGAGGTAACATTGCGGAAGTTGATGTTTCTGTTCCTCATTCAAAACTTTTGAAATTTGTTAATTGTAAGTTTTCTCTTATTTTTTTTTCACAAAAAAATCAATTTCAAATTGATTATTTCATTTTGTTTTTTATTTGTTTTACGTATAAATAATAATAATGATGATTATGATTAAACTTAACACCATTTTTTTCAAAGTTTTTTTAAATATTTATGAAAAAATCCCAAATTTCTTTGGTCTTCGTGATATTGCTCTTGAAGAAAGTTATGAATTAATACGATACGAAGATATAAATACAGATTACCTTGACATTGCTCCTGTACGATTAACAAATTTAATTAATTCGATGAATTCAATTTTTTAAATTTGTCTTTATTTATTCTTATTTATATATATATATATATATATATAGGTAAATAAAGCTATACATATTCTCTGCACTTATTATGAAGAAGGACCAGATTCAAATGCATTCAAATTAGCTAAAGGAAGATTAATTGATTTTATATGGTAATATATATATATATATATATATATATATATTATTTATAAAATTCATTATAATATTTATATCATTTTTGATAATATTTATTAATAAAATTCATTATAATATTTATATCATTTATGATAATATTTATAATTCAATAATTATTAGGATGGGTTCTGAAGGAATGTTTATTAGTGGTAATAATGGTTCTCAATTATGGGATACTGCCCTTATGTCTCTTGCTTTAGTAGACACAGGTAGATTATTATTTATTATTTAAATTATTATATATTTATATTTATATTTAATTATATTTTTTATATTTTATAGGATTAGCAGAAGATCCAACATTTCATGAATCATCGCTAAAAGCATTAAAGTATATAGATTATTCACAATTTAGAAAAGATCCTGTAAATTATTCAAGATGTTATAGAGCACCGACTAAAGGAGCATGGGGATTCAGTACACGTGATCAAGGATATTTTGTATCAGATTGTACTTCTATAGGAGTAAAGTCGGCTATTGAACTTCAAAGTAGATTGAGGTATTTTTTCATATCTTATTATTATATTTAATATTATTTATGATCTATTAACCAATATACTTATATAAGAAATTAAATAAATTCAATCTTATTACAGTTACACACCAAAACTAATATCTAAAGAACGTGTATATCAAGCTATAGATCTTTTATTAAATAATCAAAATAGTGATGGAGGATTTGCGAGTTTTGAAAAAATTCGTGGAATATCATTTTTAGAATGGATAAATCCGTCTGAAATGTTTGGAAATATTATGATTGAATATAATTATCCTGAATGTACATCCTCCGTGATAACAGCATTAAATACATTCTCAAAGTATTATCCAGATTATCGTGCAGAAGAAATCAAGTAAATTTTATTATTATAGTTATTTTTTTATTATTATGATTATTTTTTTTTTATAATTACAGATTTATTTATTAATGCATTTTTATTATTATATAAAGAGAAACCTGTGAAAAAGCTATAAATTATATTCACGATTCACAGCGTAACGATGGAAGTTGGTATGGATCATGGGGTATTTGCTTCACTTATGCTGCAATGTTTGCATTGGAATGTTTGGCATCTTACGGAGAGACTTATGAAAATAGGTTTTTTTCTATTTTATCCTAGATAATTAATATTATATGCTAGATAAAAAAAATATTATCTATAATTAATATTGAATAATTAATTATGTCTTAATATTTTTTAAAAAATTTTAGTGAAAGCGTCAGAAAAGGATGTAAATTTTTAATTACTAAACAAAAAAAAGATGGTGGATGGGGTGAATCATTTAAAGTAAGAATGCAATCTATATAATAATAATAATAATTATAATAAATAATAATTATAATAAATAATAATATTAATAAATAATAATAACAATAAATAATAATAATAAATAATAATAATATATTATTATTAATATTATTATTATTATAGTCATGTGAATTAGAAGAATATGTTCAACACGAAAAATCGCAAGTTGTAAATACTTCATGGGCATTACTTGCTTTAATGTATGCTAAATATCCATACGAGAAAGATATCCGTCGTGGTATTCAGGTAATTTTTAAATAATATTACTTATCTTTTGATATCTTATAATGATGATACTTATAAGAAAAAAACTACAGGGGGAAATTAACCGGTGGGCAGAATTAAGTTAATGTTGGTAGGGTTAGGGTTAGGGGATTGACCAGGAATTGTGTAATTCTGCCTACGGTGAAATTTCCCCCCAGTGAAAATTAGCATCACTCTATTAATAATATTATTATTGATATTAATTATTGCATTAATAATAGCTTTTAATGTCACGTCAATTATCTAACGGTGAATGGAAACAAGAAGCATCTGAAGGAGTTTTTAGTAAATATTGTACAATTAGATATCCATCTTATAAATTTATTTTTACAATTTGGGCATTAGGAAAATATGCCAAAATTTATAATGATCCTATTGTTTTTAAATAGTCCAGTATTATAGTTAAGTTGGAAGGAGATTTGTAAACATATTTATTTAATAATTTAGTATTTATATTTAATAATTTATTAATTCAATAATTTAATAATTTAATAATTTAATTGAATAATCCGCCAGTCAACCATAAAAATATTTGTAAATGTAGAGTGCTTTCATATAAAACTTTTTTATCCAAAAAATATATTATTTTTTTTGACAAATCTTAGATTTAAACTATTTATTTATTTATTGAATTAAATTAATATTGGTTAAATATAAAATTACGTAAAAAATTATTTAAGAACTTTAATTATGTAAAAAATATGCTTTGCTTTATTGCGTCATAGAATTTGTATCAATAATAAAGCATAAGCTAGAAAGATCAAAATTTGGACACATATGTATGCTCAAAACCAATATTTTAAAATTTTTTAAGATATTTACAATAATAATTATAAAACTATATCTAATGTTAAAGATTTTATAATGTCTAATAAAAATATTATAATGACACTATAAAAACAAGTAAAATATGATTTAAAATATTTTACATGCAATTCAGAAGCACCGAAATCAAAATAACAGTAGATTATTATTTTTAATTTAAATTTATTAATAAATCTTTTTAGAATTTGATATCTGTAATACATTAAATAATTGTTTTTTTTTCTTTCTATCGAGAAGGAAGAAAGAATGTCAAAATCAAAAAATTAAAGTTAATGAAGTTCAAAGTGCTTGGAATATATGAATGTTAGTGTGAAGGTATCTAATAATTACATAAATAGTAGTATTCAAGTGTTAATTGAGTTTGAAAAAAAAAGATTAGAAGACTTTATTTCTGTTATATTTTAATAAAACATGTAAATGAAGCAACACTGGTACCAAAAAAAACCCAACTTTAGCACGTTTTTGCGTTTCATTAGTTTAAAAATATATTCAAAAGTGTTGGAAATGACCTTTTGGAATGACCTTTATCACATGATTATTTTACTATATACCAAATAACATTCTATATTTAATATTTATTATAATCAATTACAGTACTTATTCATACAAATGTCCTAGTGTAGATGTGATCCATCTAAGATCGGTTATGTAACAATTAATGAACAAAAAAATTGGCAAGATTCATTTGTTTAATATGTGATCTAGCTAATATAATATTGACATTAAACACATGTTCATTTAATGTTCATTTTTTTTTTTAAATCCAACGGAGTCTTGCTCCAATAAACTTTTATTAATAAATTAGGTGTAAATTTTAAAGATACATATAATTTATTTTACATTTA